ATACACATTCTTCTCAGGTACACATGAAACATTCTCAAGGATAGACCATATGTTGGCTCAGAAAACAATCCTCAATAAATTTAAATGACTGTAACTATACAAAGTATGTTTCCAACCACAGTGGAGTAAAATTATTAATCATTAACAGAAAGACATTTGGAAAATTCACAAGTATATAGAAATTAAACAACACAGTCTTGAGTGACTAATGAATCAAAGAAGAAACACAAGGGAAGCTACAAAATACTTTCAGATAAATGAAAACAAAAGCACAACATACAAAAAAGAAATTACTCAATGAAGCTAAAGCAGTGCTCAAAGGGAGATTTATAGCAGTAAACACCTATATTAAAAAATAAGAAAGCACTCAAATCAATAACTTAAATGTCAACCTTAAGAAACTAGAAAAATAGGAGTAAACTGAATTCAAAGCAAGCAAAAGGAAAAAAAAAACAAAGATTGGAGTGAAAATAAACTATCTTTTCCTTGAAGCATCAACAAAATTGATAAACCTTTGGCTAGACTGACAAAGGATAAAAACAGAAGACTCAAATTCCTAAAATTAGAAGTGAAAAAAAGGACATTACCAACCTTACATATATAAAAAAGATTATAAAGGAATACTACAAACAACTGTATGCCAAAAAATGAGGAAACCTAGAAGTGGAAAAATTCCTAGACACAAACAATTGAAACTATAGAAGTAGAAAATCTAAATAGACATATAACCAATAAGGAGACTGAATTAGTAATCAAAAAACTTCCCACAAAGGAAAGGTCAGGCCCAAATGTCTTCATTGTGGAATTCGACCAAATGTTTAGAGAACAATTAACACCAATCCTCCCAAACTCTTTCAAAATATAGAAAAGAAGGAAACACTTCTCAACCCATTTTATGAGGCCTATGTTATCCTGATACAAAACCCAAAAATATCATAAGGAAAAAAACAAAAAAACAGACCAATATCCATTCTGAATGCAGACACCAAAATACTAGCAAATAGAATCCAGCAAAGTATAAAAAAGGATTATACACCAAGACTAAGTGAAATTTATCACAGGAACAGCAAGGTTAGTTTAACATATAAAAATCAATCAATGTAATGCACCATAGTAATAGAATAAAGGACTAAAACCACATGACCATCCCAATAGATGCAGAAAAAGCATCTGAAAAAAATCCAGCACTTTTCATGATAAAAA